CCGATTAGGTTAGTTTAGGCTATTTGAACATGGCAAAGAACACAAGAGCTATCTGCTTTAAAAAAAAAAAAAAAAAAAAAATCCTTCATGGTGGCCTTTCTAAAGAAAAGTGGCTTATATTCACGTTATGCATGTGGAAAACCACAAAAAACAACCATACAGCCAGACCGTTCACTTACGATCCAACTCCTCATTCTTCTTGCAGTCATTATCTGTCAGATTTTCCTGTTCTCAATATTGCCAAAATTTATCTGATTATAACCGTATAGTACACATGATCGCAAAGAAATTGCCTGGGAAGCTGGGAAGTGAAAGCAAATTACAAACACTGTGGTTTTTATACGTAATTACAATCAGTATATTTCCCTACGTATATAATTTAATCTTTACCATACTCGTTGTAACCAGTTAATACAATAACGAGTATTCTTTGGATATCGTTTATAACATCTTTTAATTGAAATTATTTTTGTAGAAATATAATATCACTTATAACGTTTGAATACGGCTTATAACATCTTTTAACTGAAATTATTTTTGTAGAAATATTTGTCAGGTGTGTTTTTTGAATAACATTTGATTCAAATAGAACAATGGTCGAATGCTATTTTTTTGCATTTTAAGTTAGAAAGGGTAACTTTTTTTTTAGCCCAAATGGGCGTTAGCCGAAAAGCGCTATTGATTTCGTTTTGGCATTTTGCGTTGGATCACTACAAAAGTCTGAAACACTTTTCAAATTGTTGCCATCAAATATTAGAGTCCTGCATTATATTTAAAGAATTTAAATAATGAAGAATCTGCATGAATGTATGTATATTTCTCGCATTGTGAAAAAACAACGGAACCTAGAGCCATCAAATTTTGAATAACATAGTCCGCCACTCGACTTTTGGCTTTTTTTTTCACGGAGGTTTTAGGCACCTTTTCAGACCCCCCTTTGAGTGTTTTGTTTTCCAGATTTTGAATTTCCTGAAAGCTTTCAGACTTTTTTATTAGCCCAAAGGGCGTCAGCCCAGAAGTGCTATTGATTTCGTTTTGCATGGATACACTATAAACGGCGAATCACTTTTTAAATTGTTGGTATCAAATATTAGAGCCCTATAATATATTTAAAGAAATTAAATAATGAAGAATCTGCATAAATATATGTATGTTTCTCACATTGTGATAATATACAAAATAGATCCATCCAATTTTGAATACGTACCTAGATCCATCCAATTTTGAATAACGTACGTCTCCACCCGAAGGGGTATCTGGAAAAACAAATTTTATTTTTTATTTTATTTATTTATTTTTTTTTTTTATCTAGTTCATGTTTTGTAAAACTTTAACGAATTTTTGATTAACAAACTCAACTATTTCAAAACGAGAAATGGCAACACTGTACGAAACACAAAAAAAAAAAAAAAAAAAAAAAAAAAAAAAAAACAACAAAAAAAAAAAAAAAAAAAAAAAAAAAAAAAAAAAAAAAAAAAAAAAAAAAAAAAAAAAAAAAAAACCATTTTTATCTTTAGCGCGCGAGTTTCTCTATGGGAAGTTCTAAAGATATTCTGTTTTTAAAAATTTTTTGTACGATATGGCGTTAGCCCAAATGCTCTCCAAACGCTTTTTTTATTATTTATTCGCAAATTTTATCCCACTTGTTAAATTTTGGTGAAAGCTTAGAAAATTTTCATAATTTGTTTATTTTTAGTCTAAATTAAAGCAAGTTATTTAATAATTATTTAAGCATGTCATAATTATTTGAAAGAAATGCCTGCTTACGAATTTATTCAACTGTTAATATATATTTGAATTACAAAATCCAACCCATAAAAATGCCTTACAGGTACGAAACTTTAGATTTCAGATCGAAAATAAGTATAAATCTGAATTTTTTTTCTTTGCGATATTATTGCTTATATGTGTTAAACGTTTAGTAAGCGAAATTCAAAATTTATTTTAAATATTTTTCTACTATTTTCAATTACTTTATCGTTTTGTTAAAAAATTAATAAATAGGCCAATTAAATAATATATTCATCAAACTGTTTTACTTAAAAGTAACAAATCGAAAATTTCGTTATATTCACTTATCTAATTTTCTTTCTCTGTTTTCAGATATAACGTACTAAAATTTCTTAAGAACGACCGCTGTAGTTCCAAGCAATTTTGCTCTCTCGTGGAAATAAGAGCCTAACAGAAAAATTTTTAAACGTTTTGTTTGGAAGGTACAGGTTGAACAAAGCAGTTCATCTAGACACATTAGGTATCGCCTGTATTTGCTAATGCTAAGCTTCAGCCCGTGATGAAATTCCTGGCGAGAACACCCGGAGTCAATCCCAGGGTCTGTAACCCCTCTTTCCCTAGGAGCAAGCTCTCGAGAACATTTCGGCTGGCCTTTTATTCGAGTACCCCTTGCGGCAGAGACACTATACAAACATGCCTTCGGGGCGGCAAATTGTACTTTCTCTGGCATTCGAAATCGGGTTCTTCAGTACGGCAATAAGCGATACTAACCACTATCCTGTCTGTGCGTTTCGCCTGACAGCATCACCGAAAATATTTTATTGACAGCTAGTGAGCTGTGGACGACCTTTCTCAGTAAAGAAAGTATTGTAATCGCGAAATATTTCGGATATCATATTTCAACGGAAATATCCATTTTGACCGCTCTTGAAGCTATCTGGCCGATGTTTTTGCGTGACATCTGTATGTACGGACAGAATAAAGGTCTCTTTTCCGCAAAACGGATAGTAAAATGGATTTAAAACGGATTCAGAAGACATTTTTTTTTCTTGATGTCTGTGTGTACGTACGTACATATGTATGTATCCCGCATAATTTAAAACTGAGTAACATCAGAACGTTGAAATTTTGTATATGCGACTGCTAAAACATGTAATTGTGCACCTCCCTTTTTGGTTACAATCGGCATCACCAAACATATGTAAATATATATAAATACATACCCACTCTGTAACCCTGCTCGGTGAGCTAAGTTTTTTTTTTTTTTTTTTCTCTTTTATGTTGGTAAATTGTGCATTTTTTGCTTTAAAACGGATCGAATTATGCTGTCCTTATGTTTCGGTTAAGGTTTTTGTGCCTTAACCGGATGCTTAATCTGCATGCAATAATTGTAGAATTATCAACAATTTAAAAGTTTTAAGTGCCACTAAGCCTAACATACCCTCCATTTGTTTACATTTGAAACTCTTTAGTAGAATAAGTCAGTGAATTAAGTCAGTTTCTGAAACTTCAATGTCTTTTTGCCGAGTGGGACCAAAAGTAAACATCCAATTTCGTGCACCGAAAAATCTGTCTTCTTGCCGGTTGTCCGAATTGCTTATTTTTGCGTAGAAACTCTAATTTTGAATGTATATATATATATATGCTAGAGTTTCTGGGGCTTTCTAGTACTTTTTATCAACGACCTCATACGGAGAAAGTGCAATACAGTTATTTAAATGTTGAAAAATCAAAATACAGTTTAGGGAATCCACCACTCTAATTCTGCAGAGGTGGTCTGGAAAAAATTCATGTCTGGTCAGACGTCTAAATAGAGTATCGCTGCTGTCTTTCTTGGAAAATTGGGAATGAAAGTTGCCTCTTTCCCCAGAATCCTCCATCTCTTATCCACAGCACGTTGAATCATATCCTGCCTAAGAATTTTCTTAAGAGTCAGGTTAACAAACAATTTAGTCGTATGAAAAGAAAGCGGTCGATTAATGCAATAATTGTAGAATTATCAAAGTTCCTTACTTAGTCAATGCTTCAGCTTTTTCGTTTCCCATAATTCCACAGCGGGTTGTTGAATTATGGGAAAGAAATTCTGTGCGCCATTGCCTTAAGCAAAGGCCTACAATCTAAGATTAATTAATCGAGTAAGAACTAGCCAAAAATGTGTATAATTTAATAGGAGCCAATTAATTTTATCTAGCCAAAAATGTGTATAATTTAATAGGAGGTACAAGGGAGTCATGTGGTGTCCACATCAGAATTTTTTAAATCAGTTTTTAGGTATGAAAGATCATTTGCATTGTCATCCTACTTTAATGTTAAAAAAAAATTAAAAAGATAGTGACAAAAAGAGAAGAAATAGCAATTGTCTATAGGGCCTCTTAAAAATAGTGATATTTTCCAATATCTGTCATTTTCTCTTTAACGTCGATTTAGATATTAGTCTTCCGAGAACTTGCAGAAATTTTTCATTTGCCAAACACACTGCTATACAGAAATGTTAGTATCATAGTTAAATATATACTCGTGACCTGGTATAAGTTTTGGGCAGTAGAAATCCCTCACATTTGACCTGTTTCTTCAAATCCTATGGACTCCTATGCAATTCTTAATTCTTATGATGTGCCCTACCTTCCCTAGAAGTTTGTCGCAACAATGTATTTTATGTTTGGCAATACTTTTTTATGTCATCGCAAAACTTCGAAATTTTTTATTAACAAACTCTAGGATTTGAAAGCGAGCAGTGGCAACAACTTTCGAAATAAAGCAGATTTTCATCTCCAGCTTGAAGACTGTTGCCGCTTGGAGAAATGAGGGCGAAACTGATCGTTTTTCCGAGATTTTAATTAATATCTCTGATTTTAGCTACTTTTTTTTCGGGGGGGAGAAGTCGTTGGCCTTTTTCCAGGACACAGAAAAGAATTGTAGAAAGTTTGTTAACGATAATTATAGTAGTGACTGAGTTATTAGCGAAGAAACATACACACAGACTTTTTTCTTTATATATATAGATTGTCAAATTCATAAAGTGTTTGGGGCAAGATTTACTCTTAAAAGTGACATTGTGAATTTTCGCTTGTCTCCTTAAGTTCATTTTGCTTGTAAAAACTTCAGAATATTCAGTACGACATTTAAGATGAGGAGCTTCATGACGTTCCAAATGATCAAATTTGCTAAATTTCATACACCACATTTGAAGGTTGTCTCGTTTTGCCTTCGAACATCAGGAAAATTAGTAATGGAAATGAGTGTAATCAGTTATTCAATGAAACATCTCGTTACAACACAAACAGTTTATTTACAAATCTAATAAGTGACTACAAGGAACTGTAGTTTCAGCATCTCAAAACAACACTCAAAAATATAAATGGCGTAAGAAAATACTCATTTAATGATCAAATACACATGAAATGCAACTCGAAGTTATTTTTCTCCTTTTCTCATAAAAAGAAGGAGCTCAAAACGAAAATGCCAACAACCTTCACTGTTGCCATACGTAATTTTCTAAACTAGTCAATCAAAGATAATATTAGTTAGGGGTTCAACTTGACAAAGGTCCTTTCATCGGAATTCAAATCACTTGTTTTCGGGAAAACTTGTAAACATACCACACAAATAAAATTTCGAAGATGAATCACTTCATGAACTCTTAATTTATCAACACGAGCTATCTCTTGCAATTTATACTGTATTAAAAAGGTATTTTTTTCTTTCAGAATGAATTCGTGTATGCTTATTAAATGACTTTGTCAAACGAACTGCAACTCACATTCCACGCTATCAAAGGTGCGTCCTCCCAAATGGAACTTTAGATTTCAAGTTAAGTTCTTTTCCAAAGTGAACACTTTATTACAAGTAGAACACACCTAAGAGAAAAGAAGAGAAACTCATAAGTATTAGAACATATACTTAAATAAATCTTAAATACGTTATGCACAGACTCACATATTAAAAATGAAATTTAATGGGGTATTGCTAAAGTACGTGCATTTCTTAAACAGTAATTTTAACATTCATCATAGCTATTAACGGCCTTTTTGTCTCAAACTAGTTTACGCAATTATATTCCCACTTATAACGCACTGCTTTATGAATAATGCTGATTTATGTTTTAAGAAATAATTATGAATTATATCTTAAAACTGCTGAAGACATATCTTATAAAATTAAGCAAAGCCTAGGTACAAATGCATCACAGGCATTATTAGTCTAAAGGGATTTGAGTCCCGAAGGACTATTACAGTGCTCCGCAACCGGTGTGCCGCGGCACACTGGTGTGCCATGAGTAGGATATAGGTGTGTCGCAATCAAATACATGTATTTGACATTTTGCAATTTTTTATCATGTATTTAATACACAATGACAATTTTTTTTCCCTTAATAATGTCTATTTTAAATGTTTTCATATATTTCACTGTTGTGTGGTTGTGTGTGTGATTGTAAGTGTGTCAGCATTTGAATTTTTTCGGCACTTCCTTGATAACTCGGAACTCTTTGGTGTGCCACGAAATTCCAGAAAGATTTTTTGTGCGTCACAGGTGAGAAAAGGTTGCGAAGCACTGGACTATTACTTTCGTTTAGGCATTTTGCGTCGGATTCCTATAAATGTCGGTTCACTTTTGAAACTGTTGCCACAAAATGTTAGAGTTCTGCATTATATTTGAAGAAATTAAATAATGAAAAATCTGCATAAATGTATGTATATTTCTCACATTGTGATAAAACAACTATCTAGAGCCATCCAATTTTGAATGACGTCATCCTACTGCGAATATGGACATGTGGAAGACCAAATTTGAAATTTGGAATTTGTTTTATGATCGACTGCATATTTTGTAAAACTTTAACGAATTTTTGAGTAACAAACTCAACGATTTAAAAGCGAGGAATGGCAACACTCTACGGGGGGTAAAAACCTTTTTATCTCCAGCGCGTTGAACTGTGTATGGAAAATTCTAAAGATATGCTCATTTTAAAATTATTTTGTGACATTGCTATTGAATTAAATTTTATGGTTTAAGTGCAAAGAACATGATGTTTAATAAATAAAGGTAACGCACAAAACGTTTAAAAAACGCCCCTTTGGACGCAATTTAAAATCTGAAACATTTCAGATTTTTTTATTTTATTCTTTTATCTTGAAGAAAGTGAAGTATTATTGATTTTGAACATCAGAGAGGTAGCTGTTATGTGATTGTTTACTAACATAGCCGTCTGATGTTATTGCTTGCTAATAAAATTCATAAAATATTGAGTTTTAACGAAACAAAGTTTTTTGCAGTGGTTTTCTCGCCACTGCAAATATCGTCTGCGCAAACAATGCGGGTTGGCGTCTTTAATCATATTTTGTCAAACGATTTTCGGCATTTGAAAGAAAGAGATTTCCTTTAGAACATTGTGTTGTGAAATTTGTAAAAGTGGAGGTTTGAAAGTTCAAAAACAAGGACATTCAAGAAGCAGGGCGCTCTGGCCGACCTACTGATGTTGATGAGTTTCGCCTGCGAGAACTTGTGGAAGAAGATCAGTATGCTACCACTCGAGAGCTTGCTAAGGAGTTAGACATTAGTGCCATGTCCATTAGTCGCATTATGCATAGCATAAACTTGAAGAATAAGTTGAATAGCTGGTGCCGCATGAACTTATCTGCTCGAATATCAACGCAAGGACAAAATTTTGGACCGGATTTTCACTTGTAATGAAAAGTGGATTTACTTCAACAACCTAGGTCGAAAAAGGGGGGGGGTTGATCTGCGACCGGTGAGCCCGTCAGCAGCATCGCAAAGAGCAATTTAGTTATTAGCTAACAAAAAGATCATTTGGTACCGCTGTACTCTCCATAAAGAGTATCTAGAGAAAAGTAAAACCTTGGACAGTAAGGTGTACAGCGAGATGCTAGTCCGTGTTGACGCTGCTGTCGAGGAAAAGCGTCGCATTGAGTTCCGGAGCAAAAATGTTATGTTCCATCAAGATAATGCAAGACCACATGTGTGTGCATTCATCGGCTGGACTCTGTACAGACTCGAATGGTATCTTTTGCCGCATCTACCCTACAGCCCCGACATGGCTCTTTCGGACCTCTACCTTTTTTTTTTCACACCTGCAACTACATCTTGCTGGTGCTGTCTTCCGTTCTGCTCGCCCACCAGCGGCCGAGCGGTAAAGTCGCTGAACACTGGTAGTTCGGTCCGAGGTTCGAATCCCGCGAACGGGCTGGCTGCATGGGCGTTTTCGTGGTTTTCCCCATGTGTAACGTGTATACGAGCCAGTTTCCCTTAGAAAGTCCTCCACGAAAGGCATCCCTCCCCTTAGGCAGATATCCCTAGTGTGCTTTGCCATAATTAAATACACCACACCACACCACTTCCGTTCTGCTCAGGTCGTCCAAAATGAAGATGATCTACTTTTGGACTCGCGGCCACCAGGTTTCTGGGCAGAAGTCTTTGAAAAACTACCAAAATGTTGCCAAAAAAATCATAGATTTGGTGGTAATTACTAACTTCACTAAAAGTACTGCTTTCATGTTTTTAACTTTAGGGGGCTCATACACCTTAAACCCTTCATGATCTTCGAATATGTGACTGTTGCAAGGATCGGGATATTTAATTTATTTTAAAAGTAATTACTTCCAACTTTTTACAGTTGACTACGTAATATAGCTGCTTTGGGAACTAATAGCGAGAAAGTTTGTGTTGCCACAAATATTTTTGTAATTTAATCCGCTTTGTGACAAAAAAAAGTTTTCGCCATGTTTTCACCTCGCGCGCATGATATTTTAAAAATGGCTAATGATACATACTTGGAATTTGATGGAATTCTTTATATAGGCGCTATTTTCTAACTGAACCAAAATCTGATGAATAATTTAATATTAAAAAATTTTATGCACGAAAACATTACATTTTTTTAATAAAATACATTTTATAAACTCAAATTCAAATAAAATAAAAATTTAACAGGAAATTCTTAGAATTTTTGGTCATAGTAATTTCCAAATGTTATAAAAGTTATATATTAAATATGGAATTAAATTATGCAACAGAATGTTTTAAACTGTGCGTGCAAGGTGGAAACATGGCGTGAACGCATAAAACACTTGTGTCACAAAGCGTATTAAATTACTCGTATAAAAATATTTGTGGCAACACAAACTTTCTCATCAGACAACAACTCTCACAAACAAAACTCAGAGAGCAGCTATATTATGTAGTCAGCTGTACAAAGTTGGAAGTAATTGCTTTTAAAATAAATGAGTTATCCCAATTCTTGCAACAGTCACCTAATCGAAGATCTTGAGGGTTTTAAGGTGTATGAGTCACCTTAAGAACGTTTTTCTGCGGAAAACTTTTGTTACAACCAGATATAAACTCTCTTGAATATATTCTCTCTTAAAACAGTGCAGAGACGTAAAACATGTTTTCAAAGCACTGTCTAATAATGATTTAAGAAGATATGAATTTATATATGCTACACTATGGATCAAGAAAATATTCAATTCACCAAACTGATAATATGGTTCAAGAAGTAATATTCTTTAGCCAATCAAATGTTACCAGTTTACTGATATGTATGGAACATTAGTCATTATGTGATTATTTCATTCTTCTGGTGTCTGTAAGTACCTTATCAGATGAATTTCGATAACATCCTCTTTCATAAGCTATCAATATAATCTTCGACCTTATCAGAATTTCTCAAGCAGCATTAAAGAGAGGGGATATTTATATCATCTTAAGACAGTAAATATACGATTAGGGAAGGAATAGTCTATGAATTATAACTAAAAAATATCGATGTTATTGCTCAGGACTCAGAAGAAAGTTTAATGCATCTTATAATTTTTGAAACTGTTTTTTCAAGTAGAAAGACATTCCAAAATATTTATGTAAAATCATATTATCCCATATATTTTTTAAAAATTAACCTTATTTCGGTTACTTGTGTTATCAGCAGAATTTTTCAAATTAAACATGAACATATTTCTAATAGAAAACATCTGACTTGTGCTTCCTTAACTTCGCAAACAATTTAAATAACCCCAAACTACTTTAAAAATTGAATAAAATAGATATTTGAATTTTCCCTAAAATTTAGCAGACTTTGTAGAGACATTAGGCTATTTTAAGCAGGAGACATGAAAAATGTGCAATGGCTTCACCGGGACTCGAACCTGGGTCTCTCGAATACGCGCCGAGCGTGCTACCGTTACAATACGAAGGCATACAGTGAGGAGGGAGAAAATACCTTATCTACTCTCCCTTTTAAAGGGCGACTGGGGATTAGGGGACCCAATCGCCAAATCCTGGTGGTGAAGAATCATCCTCCACCACATTTTAGTTCGGACACCACTGTGAAGTCATTAGGATTTTTGAAGTAGGAAATACGAAAACTGAACAATGCCTTCGCTGGGACTCGAACCTGGATCTCTCGATTATGCGCCGAGTGTGCTAACCGTTACACCACGAAGGCATGCTGGAAAGAGAGAGGAAATTATCCAATTATGTAATTTAAAAAAAGCAAGAAAAAAATCGTCGTTATTTCAAAATTTTGAAAATATACTGATCTTTACGCATGTTTTTTATCATTTCATACCAAACATTTCAATATCTTGTAGATTATTAAAAGTTATCTTGGTCTTTTTCAAAGACTGTAAATGATTTCACATTATTTAGGGAGTAACATGCCAGTTTTATTTCGGATAGTTGCGGAATGATGCTAAAACTTTCAAGCAGAAATAAAATATTGTTAACCTTTTATGAAAATTCATAAAAAACCACGATATATCATAGAAGTTTGAGGACTTTCAAAAATATTTTAAAAAAATCTCAATTGCTATTGAAAATTTAGATATTTTCAGATGATTTTCGG